AGCGAAAAGACGAAAAGAACAAGAAAGTGATGATGAACGACACGAACGACAAGTAAAAGATACATCACGAGCAGAACAACGAAGAAAACAAGAAACAGATGACGAACGCCATGGTCGGCAATCGAAGAATGCATCACGAGAAAGAAAACGAAGAGAACAAGAAACGGATGATGAACGCAAGGGGGAAACAGCTGACTCCAGTACCTTGGAGTCAAGTGGAGTCAAGTGGAGTCAAGTGGAGTCAAGTGGAGTCAAGTGGAGTCAGGTGGAATCACAAAGAATCTGGTAAAATTCTTGTCTATCTTCAGAAATCCATTATAAAAATTTGAGTGCGGTATTTTTTTATTTATTTCTGAACATTACTGATATTCAAGGACAAAACCTTCACAATAAATAAAAAGATAACAGCGGCTTTGTGTAAGATTATTGAAAATTTATTTTAGAATAAAAAACACAATAATTCGACGTTTCGATGATCTATGTCATCATTTTCAAGAGTTTATTATGATGTTAAGAAAATTGTACATAGAGGATAAAAAGAAAAAGAAGAAGAGAAGAGGAAAGCAAAGAGAAGACAAGCAACGACATTAATAAATAAATTAAAGATTCACTAATGATCAAGATTAGGTAACTGAACTTTTGGTAAACAATAAGGAAAGACCAGTAACGGAACCGAGCGTGTTGTTTTGTTAAGTTCAGGTTCGTAAGCCTTGATCAACAGTGACTCTTTAATTAACAGACGATAATAATGATTGTCTTGCCATACAACTTGAAAATTATTCCAGTCCATTCGATGACCGATTTCCTTTACGTGTTGAGAAATTTATCACTGTCAATCTTCTTATCATTGCTGTTGTCATTTATAGATGCCATTGTTATTGCTGTTGTTGAAGTTGTTTTTGCTGCAGCTAATTTGTTTTTAATTCGTGATGATCTTCTTAATTCTGATGGATCTTTAGGATCATCACTTGTATTACTGCACAGTTGTTGTTGTTGTTGTTGTTGATATGGTGTCGTACTCTGAAAATAAAAAAAGAGTTTTGCAGAACCTTTTTATGGGTTCTGCTATCGGGTAAAAGACAGAACCCTCAAAAAAGGTTCTGACTGAAAAAAGGTTCAGTAAAGAAATAACGAAACCATATCTGATTTTTCTTCA